ACAGTTTCATAATTACTTTGGTTTAAAACCTAGAAATGATAAAGATATTCTTGTCTTATTTTTTTTTTAAACAGGTATCTGAATGTTTTTATTCTCTAGAGCTTGTATATGTAGAGGAGCAAAGCCTCTCCTGTGGTGCTGATGTCATCAGTATGGGTTATGTCTGTATCCTGATTCAGGCGATGAAAAAGATGGGCTGACTGACAGAGACATCAATGTGTTTCATGGTCAAAATCTTCGTCTATGTTTTTATGTCCTTGCAACTGGGGTAGAAACCAAAATGAAGTTTTATGTATAGTTATATACAGTAGATTGCAATTTGTACTTAACTGAAGTGAGGAACTAGCAGGAGATCAAGCAGGGACCATCCATCCTCTGAGTTACCACCGAATAAACAAACCCACTTTACTTAATGTCACCTAAATCCACTAAACCAAGTTGACTGAATGTAAAGTATAATGCCTTCATAGTTGAAAAAGCAAAAGATTCTTCACAATGACTCATACAAATCTGTAGGGTTTCTCTTAGATTTAAAGGGACAGTGTCTAACAATTCTGGCTTTTCATTTGCAAAATGTTTGTTTTGCTTGAATGAATACATATACTGTGAAAGTCTATAAGAAAGTCTGGGAGCATTCTTATAGCTTCAAATTAGTAGTTTATAAATACATGAGGGGTGGTGCACCCAATGAGAGATGCCATGTTGAGTCTGGATTTTCGATTAGAGAAGTTGAAAGAGGAAAACTTACATGTCACCTTACATGTTTTTAGCTGTATCTGGAAATGTGCTGCTGGTGGTCAAAGAATTAAAAACAAGCAAAAGCAATTGTGTGATAATTCATTCTTCCACTTTCTGCTTCAATGGAGGAACATCTGTACTTTATATCAAGTGAGAGGCTAAAGAAACAAATAAAAAAATGAAAAATGTGTAATAAGTAATTAAAAAACAACATTTTAGATTTTAGAATATAGATAATTTACAAGGGAGCAGACTGTCTGCTGATGTAATTCAATATAACAGTGTCGTTTATTTTGCTCTGTTAGAAACAAGCACAGGTTTAACTTTCTGGAGGACTGGCTGGGACAGTGCCCACCAATAATTTCAGCTTTTCCCCCCTTTCTGCTCATTTACTTTAGCCAGCAGTAACTGGGGTTGGGTGCAGCTGTCTGTGTTCAGAGCGTTTTGAGTCTGTGTTTTTTTCCTCCCTCGTTCTCCTCCTGAGCCCCACCTATCAGTATAACATCATCGGATCTGTATTTTTTCAAAACCCTGTTGAAAGCTTTCGGGTCGAGAAACTGTAGGTCCATCAGCCACCACCCGAATGTCCTCACCAACTTTCATCACAAAGTTAAACCCTTAGAAAAAAGGCAGAGAGGGCTAGTTTGTTAGCCTACGCTGGATGAGCTTGGATGCAAAACTTATTACCTGCTGTTAATAGATGTCACTCCACAGCATCCATAGGTCTCACACAGGCACCAGTCTGTAATTTGTCATTCATTAGGTGCACTGCTAGATGGTGATGAATCCCTTTAACATTCCAAAAAAGCTCAAAAACAATCCACTTGATTTTGTCTCAAACTTTGAAGATGTTTTGCTTCCTATTCAGGAAGCTTTTTCCAATTCAAATGTCAGAAATAGCATTGATTTTAAGGCTATTTCTGACATTTTAAATTGAAAAAACTTCCTGGATAGGAAGCGAAACGTCTTCAAAGTTGGAAACTTTTTTGGAATGACTATGACCTGGATGACTGGGAATCTTCACCGGCACATCCCTTTAAACACTTTTAACTGTCTGTGTGATTGTATTACATTGAATGCATTTTGAATAAGAACTAAAGAAATTAACTGAATAAAAATAAATGCCACATTCTAAATTTTAGCTTAAGTGACTCACATTTAATATTTGGTTTGGGATCCTTTATCATGAATAAGAGCATCTAGGTGAAGTATGGATCCAATCAACACATGGCTGTAATGAGGTGTTAAATTATGACAGGTTGCTTCAGTAGCAACCTTCAGGAATACCTGAAATACATCTGTCCGTCTGTGTGAAATAAATGTATAGGATCAATTTTTTCTTATACATATGGAATGTAGGTTTAAAGTTTTGGTGAGATTTCAATCTCCTGAATTGCACTTTTATATTTAAATTTTAAGAGATGTGGAAAGCAGAGGGACGTAGGTCATTTAAAATCAGGACTAGAGTAATAAACGACGTTTCAAAATCGGCATCTGCGACCTTTATAAAAATTAGTACCCTTTAAAAAAGTTTTTCTGTATCAAAAAGTTTGAGACAGTGTGTAAAAAAACATCTTGTAAGATGTTCTACTTGATCAAGATTCACATGCATTTACAAAATATTTGTGGCTGTGTTTCTTTCTGCAACAAGCGTCATTCTTTTAGGAGAATACATCTTGATTCTTCTTTTAGCTAGTCAAAAGACATCATAAAGAAAGACATCATAAATTGATTATAACTGGAGCCACTATCATTGAAAGAGTGGG